ACTGCTCTAACTAAGAAAGACAATAGCGCTTTTATCTAGACTAATAGATGCGACGCTGCATTTTAAGAGCTTAAACGAAGATTTATAAGCGCGCTAGTGCCAGCTTATTTCTACCTAGAATAGGAAACCTAGGTAGAAACGGATGCCTCGGACTACGTAACTACTAGAGTCCTCTCTTAGCGCAATCCGAATACTAGTATCCTATACCTAGTAGCATTCTTCTCTAAGAAGATGTTACTAGCGGAGTGTAACTACGATATATACGACAAAGAACTGTTAGCTATTGTTAAGGTCTTTAAAGAGTAGTAGTACGAGGTTATTAGCGCTACTAAGGACAACCCGACGCGCGTGTTGTTAGATTACAAGAATCTAGAGTACTTTATAAGCACGAAGCAGCTCAACCGCCGGTAGGCGCAGTAGGCAGAGTTCTTAGCGCAGTTTAACTTTAAGATTACCTACCGGCTAGAGAAGCAGAGGCAGAAGCCTAACAGCCTAATACGTTTGTCGCAAGATATACCTACTAAAGATAACCTACGGACCTAACATTAGTATTAAACTATATTAAAACTATATAATATAGACATTGTATCCTATTTCGCGATAATGCCCGAAGAAGAGTTACTAAAAGAAGTTAAATAGCTATAGGTTTCGTTTCTAATGCTAGGAGATAAACCTAAGGTAGGCGAACTAGAACTAGACTCTAACTCTAATTCTAATTCCAACTCCGATTTAGGAGGTGTTCTAGTAGCGTCTAAGGACAAGACCGCTTCTAAGGAGGGGGACGAAGTCGATAAACCTCCTATTCTAATAGAGAAGAGCAGTTAGGACGACGCTTTCGAGCTACTAAGAGAAGCCTATAGTTATATATCAATTCGCATACGTATAAGATAGGTATAGTCGGACCTAGCTAATCGAAAGAACTCGCCGTTCCTGTAGCAGCAGAAGATATCTACTATAGAATGCTAAGTAGCAGATAGCCGACTAATCGTTAACTAGAAGCTCTATATCCCTAAGTATAAGAACATCCGAATAAAGATTATTAGACGGTATTGTAATATACCGCTTACTAGACATTAAGGAACTACAAGGACTTATAACCTGCTATACCGACAAGGCTTCTTCTAGCCCGAGATAAGCTCTAATATAGCGCGCTATCTACGCAACTGCTACGTATACCGGAAGGCTAACCCTTCGAGGCAAGGATTATAAGGGACTCTATCGACCCTATCTACGCTACTAGCAAACTAGGCATATATAGCAGTAGACTTTATTATAGAACTGCTACCTAGCAAGTATAAGGAAACGAAGCAGACATAGCGGCATATTATAATAGTTACTAATTGCTTAACTAAAGAAGTACGGTTCTTAGGCACCGATAACCTAGAAGCTAAGTATATAGTAGGACTATTCTACCGATATGTCTTCTACTAGAAAGGAATACCCGAGGTTATCTTCTTAGATCGTAGCTCTTAATAGACTAGCGTATTCTTTAAGCATCTATATCGACTGCTAGGAATTAAGTAGAATATATCTACTGCCTTCTACCCGCAAACGGATAGGCAATCTAAGCGTACAAATTAGACTTTAGAGCAATACCTCTACGTCTTCTATAATTACCTCTAAGACGACTAGGCCGACTAGTTACCTAGTGCTAAGTTCACGTTAAACAACTACGTTTCGGCATTAACTAGCTTAATACCTGCGTTTGCTAATACTAGACGACACCCCTAAATAGATATAAAAGCTGTAGAGTAAGTAGTCCGACCGTAAGTACTAAGCGTATAGGTAACCTACTTAGAAGAAGCTAAGAATTTCGCAAGCCGTATACAGCACTTCCGCGATTATATAACAGTAGTGTTAAAACATCTCTAAGAGAACTACTAATTTGCGTAAGTACGCTATTCTAAGGCGGCAAACCGTAAGCGTATACCTACTAAAGCCTACGAGCCTAGAGACCTAGTTTAGTTAGACTCCCGCAATATTAAGACTAAGCGCCCGAGCAAGAAACTTAACTATAAGTATCTAGGACTATTTAAAATACTAAAGGCTGTTAGACGCCGCTCCTTTAAACTCGACCTCCCTACGACAATACGTATTAGACTAGTCTTCTATATAAGCCTACTACGGCCCGCTACCTTCGACCTGCTTAACGGACAGTACGACGACCTGTTAGCACTACTATCCGTAGTTGTCGAACGAGAAGAATTAGATAAGCTAGAGTATAAGGTAGATAAGATTCTAGACTCTAGGACCGATAAGACGGTATAGTGCAAAGGAAAATACAAGGCGCGCTAGCGCGGCAGAGAAGAAATATAGGAGCTATAGACAGACTTCCTACCTAGATACAAAGAGCTAGTCGCCGCCTTCTATAAGAAATATCCGAAGAAGCCGAAGCCGGCTAAGGTCGAAACATTACTCGCTACGTTAGACTGCCGACTATCTAGTCTCGTAGTAATTCTAAACGGCGCATCTGCAAGTTTATCTCCGAAGTAGGTAGCTATATCTAAGACAGTTAATAGGCCTCTATATCGACGGCTTAACCATAATAAGGAGACTAATAGTACCGGGTTACGCACCGCAGCTAATTACTTTCGCGAGCTAGCCGTAGAGGGCATTTCGAAAAAGAACACTACTACGCTTAATAATAACTATCGTATATAGTTAGATAATGTCGACGCTGCTACGCAAGCGGCGCGCCGTATACTACGTGCTTCTACAAGTCTAAATAGCGTCGTAGGAGCTCCTTATTCGGAGGGGGGAGTACTATTACGAGATAGGGTCTAAGTATGTAAAAGAGGGACGGGCCGTCCTATGTCTTAGCGCTTGTCGCTACCTATTTAGCTCGCGCGTTCTCGCGCTCTCTTAGATACTTCGTGCGACGTTCTATCTTCCTAAATACGTGCTACCTTTAATAGAGGCGTATTTGTCTCTTAATTCCTATACGATTCTATCGATAGTATCGATAACTTCTATATCGCTACGGGCGTAGTAAATCGTATAGGAAAACAGCCGCTAAACCTATAGATACTACTTCTCGGGAAAGTGTCGTAGGAAGGTCTCTTTAGCGTATCGCTAATAGAGATATATAGTTATAGCCTCCTCTTTAAATGCTAGTCGAATAGCGCGTTATTCTTAAGCCGAGTCGTTAGTTATAGCTACTATAGGCTTCTAGCCGGGTGCCTATTTGTTTAATACTTAAAGCCTAGCCTTAATTAGCTTTACTCGCTAGCTCTATAGCAATATATACCCCCCTAGTATCTAGGAGCCGAAGGCATTACGGATATAGACTGTAAATAGGTAGAAGTTATTATCGGACGTTTTATAGGTCGCATCGAAGAGAAATAACTATATATAGACGGTTAGTCGTTACTATCGAAATTTGTATATTAGGAAGAGAGCCGGAAAGCTAATGCCTAAAGCACTACTAGCTCTAAAGAAATAGGAACCTATATTACTAGCAACACTACTATTTAGCAACTTACGCTGCTAGTCGGCCTACTATATAACACCCTTATGCTAGAATGCCTCTATACGGACAGAGAGAGCCTTATAGGAGAGTCCTACGCCTATAATATCGTCTATAAGAGGGCCGAGATAACGATTAAGGTTGTCTAGCTATAATCGAATATTGCCCTTCTTAGTTAGGGACACCCTCTTTACATTCTTCTTTATAGACTACTTTATAATATCTTTCTTTATACGGTGCGCTCTAATAATAGCAAGACGACCTATATTTGTACCCTCCTTTAGTAGGTAGAATATATAAGCTGTTTTATAGTTATGCTAATCTATTAGATATTCGATAACAACCTAGAGGCTATTACTAGAAGCCCTTATATCCTACAGCTAGTCTAGTTAGCTTCGTAATACGACTTAATCTACTATATTAACCTTACTATATAGTCTATCGTATAACTACAGATATTGTTATTACTATACGCCAAATCGCGGCCTCCTTAAGCGATCTTATAGCTACGAGGCTCCTTGTCTGCCTTCCGATCGAATACCGCGATTATAGCTATCGACGTATTATATAGGTTCTTATAAAACTCTACCTTATAGATACTAATACCTAGCTCTCGATTGCGATTAAAGTTACGCTAACAACGATAGTAGTATATCGTCCGCTGCGATAACCTATCCTTATAACGAGCGCCCTCGTATTTCTCCTAGAAGTTAGTTATAAAAGGCTATACCTATTTAAACTATTCCTTTAGTATAAAGGAGCCTTAGGTTAACGGGCTAAATAGCGAATAGCGTAGTTAATAGGTTATAGAAATAGGGATGAGATAAGCTATATTAAAGAGCTAGAGTTAATAAATATTGCTATTAGTAAGTATTATAGGACACTCGTAATAACGCCTATAACACCTCCTATTATATAGAAAATGGGCCCTATACTATTAGGTTTCGACGACATAAAGTCAAGGACCCTAGCGTCTACGGAATGCCTGTTTTAGCTGGCAATATAGACACTTCTCAGATCCGGTTATCTACGAAGGAATGCCTCGGAAATTATATATGGGGCTGATCGGCCGGGCACTAAAATCTTCTGACAACTGCTTATAATTGTGTTCAGCCTCACCAAGGGAATGCTCCTGCAATATGTCTTGACAGCTCTAAGGAGTAGGTGCCATGCTTGAATTGAGAGTCATGCGCTTTGAGACGGAGCAGAGAACTTGGTAAGGGAGTGCAGTTGTGACTGCTCGGAGCATGGGCAGAGGGAGGATTGGGCTATGTCTTCATAATACTGCTTGCCGTCCGAAACTTAAGACAGTCACAGCTTGGACTGCTTTTGCCAACACTCGAATTACACCGGTTGTCGCTGTCGAACAGAAAGTCTGCCTGGTATACTCTAGTAATTCAATAGCGCGTGTCGCGGTCATGCTCTCTGCGGAGTTGGCAAATTGATCATGCGCCGGGTCCCTATGCCTGATCACGTTCGAGAGATATCATTCGAAGTATGCCAGATGATGTGCACGAGGTGGACAATATTGTTTGCTCAAATCGATGGTTTGATGGCAGTGGTGCTTAAGAGCGTATACATCGGAATGCAGCATTCTGTGGCATTGACACCACTCATTGAGAAAATTGAGACAAGAGGTCCACCAGCAGCGACCAAATCTGCAGACAGCGAGCCTTTGCGACTATGTGCCAGACACTCGTCACACAGCTTTCATGCGGACACACCATTCGCGGTCCCATCCTCCAATGCGACTCCGCAGTCCAGACCGCACCTCGAGGGCCGCCGTACGATGATGGACGAATGGTCCTTTGCCAGCCTGGGAGCCTTCTGCAAATCGAGAACAACACCTGCTGCGAGTCTTGCGTCTCGGACATGATCGTCGGTATCTTGAGAAACAGCTGTTACCGCTGTCGACGATCTCTCGTGTGGCGAATGGGCCAAGCGATCATCGACTGGCTCCAACATCCGCGTATCGCAGCCTTCTCACACTCGGGTTCCTCAAGCGACCGCAATTCTTCGGGCAATCGTGAAGACGTACATCACTGGTAGGCTGAAATGAAGGTATGCCAGACTCCGCGACCCGGCCCTGCCACTATCATTCTGGAAGCTGACTTCGCCGTATACAGGAAATGACGCCATCTCTTCTCGTACTTCATAGCTTCGTTCCTGAAGCACTACCCGGCCTGGGGAAGACATAGCCCAACGTTGCTGGGCTCAAGCTGGGATTCATGGGCAGCGGGAATGGTTGTTTTCTCCAGTTGCCTGAGAAGAATGCTGGGTGCATTGTAGCAGGATTGTATATGGGTGCTATGCGCGTAGGCTCTGGGATGGTTTTTGATGGTGGCATGGCTTCTATCTGGTTTCTTGGACTGGTCGCGAGGGGTGCTTGTCGGATTTCTGGATGCGTGCTGCGGGTCTGTTGCTGATACTGCGGATTCTGAGGCCGCTGCGAGCGAGACTAGTACGTCTAAGTATGCCAAAAATAAGCCTGATATTCACATGAAACGAACCTGTGGCCGTGAAGGCTGTAGCGACGAGATCATGCTGAGGTTGAATCGTGCACGTCGAAGTCGAAGTCCTCGGCCAGAGGTGTGTGTGAAAGCGGAGCTCTGTGCAGGGATGCCCGCTCAAAAGCGTCATCCTCCGGGCCGGGCCGGCACGACACCGATTCGATATGGCGTTTCTGCTCGTCCGATAGAACAGCGCTTCTCTCTGCTCTGCATATCAAGGCATGTGGAGGAGTCGGCTGGTCGTGAGAAGGCCGCAATGTCGACTATTCCATAGAGCGAGGGCACGATGCCAGGCAATAAGCGTGATAGACATCGATGATGCCACCTTCTTCAGGCAGTATCCCTCGGCAACGGACACGCCAGAGACAAACCCGCCCTTCTTCGAGAACTTATCATTCCGCCTGCCGACCAAACTCGACGACGATGGAAAGCCACAGTACTGGGCGGTGCTTTCTCCTTCGTCATTAGCAAGAACGACGTTTCTTCAGATCCTGGCGGCACAGCACATTTGCATTCCTCCTACAGCTCGGCATTATCCTCTTCTTTCAGAACTGTCCATCTCAGAGCAACATGCCATCAAATATGTCGGATTCGACGCCGAGCGAGGGAGCACAGTGGGCGGTGCTAACGTACGAGGCGCCTACTTGAGTGCGAGATATGAAAGTAGACGCGAGGAGACCGACTACTCACTCCACGACTACCTTACTGGTCACACAGAGCTTAACGCGCTAGAACACGAGCAAACGGAGGCTGAGAAGGAGAAGCTGAGCGAGGTCATCGACCAGCTCGATCTTCACAAGCTACTTTCAATGCCGGTGGCGAATTTGAGCAATGGCCAAACCCGAAGGGCTCGAATCGCGAAATCTCTTGTGTCCTTTCCAGAAGTGCTACTCCTTGACGGACCATTCATGGGGCTGGATCCCAACACTGCGCGGGTGATGGGCTCTGTATTACGTGGTTTGGCCGAAAGACAAGCTCCTAGACTGGTCTTGAGCTTGCGTCCGGAAGATGGTGTGCCAGACTGGGTATCACATCTTGTTGTGGCTGACGAACACCTGAAAGTCCTAGCTCAAGGCGAAAAGGACAAGATCTTCTCAGACGCAAGGAGCCAATTTTTTATCATGTCACCCCTGCAGAAGATCTTGCAATATTCTAGATCTAGGACTCTCAGCGCTGTTGCGCAGCCTGCATGGCCTGAACGCCCATGGAAGCTCAGCATAGACGGCTTCAAGAGAGATTCACCTGCTCTGGAGCCTGGCGAGGCTGTAGTCGAGATGCAGGGCGTGAAGGTCAGCTACGGAGACAAGACTGTGCTAGGTGGATGGAAGCAGGATATCGATGGCGAATGCAGGGAAGGGCTGTGGTGGAGCCTGCATCGCGGCCAGCGCTATGGTATTTTCGGTCCAAACGGGAGCGGCAAGACCACTATGCTGAGCTTAGTCACATCAGATCACCCTCAGACGTATGGTCTACCCATCAAGCTGTTCGGCCGATCAAGACTTCCAGGACCGGGAGAGCCTGGCATAAGCGTGTTTGATCTCCAACGGAGGATGGGCCACTCCAGCCCAGAAGTACACTCTTTCTTCCCCAAAGCTTTGACAGTGCGGCGGGCGCTTGAATCTGCTTGGTCTGATGCACCTCTAGCTCGTGCGAAGCTTAGCGCAGAGACAGATCGAAGGGTAAATGCCTTCTTACGATGGTTCGCCAAGGAATTGAATCCGAATTATGGGTCAAAGACATTCCTTGAGAGCCTGGAAGATACGTTGGACGTTAAACGGGGGCTAAGTGCTGCGCGCAAAGCGGCTGCGCAGAAGTTCTACGATGAGAATTTCTACGATGACTCCGATCTGACCTGGGCAGACGATGTACGATTCCGTGAGTTGAGTTTCTCTAGTCAGAGACTGCTGCTGTTCTTGCGAGCCATAGTTGCAAGTCCAGACCTGGTGATCCTGGATGAAGCGTTGAGTGGGATTGACGAGAGGATACGAGACAAGGTGCTGTTATTCTTGTCTCAAGGCGAGGAGGTCGCAGCAGTGCTCGGAAGCTTTGCACAGCCTAGCTCGCTCTCTGTAATGGGCAAAGTCTCGTTTGAGGGACTCACGCCGGATCAAGCTTTACTGGTGATCAGTCACTCAAAGGAGGACGTCCCAGGCTGCTTGCGGGAATGGATATGTCTTCCGGAACCAGGTGAAGGGAGGGCTCCAAGGACCGGCAAACTTCCTGGCCCGCTCTCATTGCATCCTCAAGAGTGGACAGAGGGAATCTGGGCACAGCAAGGCTCGTAGAGTAGTTCCATCAACATGTCCTATACCACACGATCGATTTAGACTTTCGGTAAGATACAGAAGAACGGACTGTACAGCTATTGCACGCGATGGCACTCATTATCATGCGTGCGCGAATTTTGAGCAACATTTCTGCAGTGCGAGTAAGGTTGAGCGGAGAATTGCGGAGACTCCGACGCGGGCTCTGTTTGGGATCCGCAAAACTCCACCCTCTGAGCCCTCTCTCGTCCTGCATGCCCTCGGATAACCGCAATGGAGCAAACGTCGGGCATCTCTCGCCGAGCTCGTGTGCCTGCTGCTACTTCCTGTTCCTCTCATACTGCGACCAATACACCCTCCTCGTTTTTTCCTTTTCCGTGCGAGCAGGCATCTTTCTTAAATATCATGAGCAGATAGGAACACTGGCTCTCCCCATACAGTACCTTGTATGAGGTCAAAATGAGGACGGCAGCGATACAGGCGGCCAGGCAGGCCTTTGGCTCTGCTGTGGCGGGTCCAGCGAGCAGAAGGGGCTTTGCAACGACTAGCAAGTGTCTGGCTAGCTATGGCTTCATTGGGCTGGGTCGAATGGGTAAGAACGAACTCTGAGGCGGTCGACTGCATCCCAAAGCTGATTAGAACGCGTCAGGTTATCCAATGGCAAAGAATCTGCGGACGAAGATTGCAAAGGACGACACAATGTTCATACATGATGTGAACCCGACAATAACGAAGCAATTCGTTGAAGAGTTCCAGAGTGTTGGCCCCGTCACAGCAGCGGAGAACGTGAGGCAGGTTGCAGAGAACGCGGTAGGTCTCAACACATTTCACGACTCTTCTCACATGATGAACTTGTTATATCCTTATCACTTGTATGATCTAAGTTGCAGCGAAAGCTGTCCCTCTGATTACCCAAACACAAAAGCCAATCCTCTGAATGAGCAACCGACCTGATACACGAATTATGAATGCGGGCACTTTGAGACCAGGTCATACTAATGCTTGGGTGCTGTCTAGACCACCATCCTCACCGTCCTTCCTGAACCCCACCACGTTCAGAATGTCTTCCAACAAATGCTCAACCCGCCATCTCTCCTGACCTCCTCCCCCAACAAAGAACCTCGTCTCTTCATCGACTGCTCCACCATCGATCCCCGCTCCTCCGCCGAAGTCTCAGAAGCCACTCACGCGACAGGTCAAGGCAAATTCGTTGATGCACCAATGTCTGGAGGTGTGGTTGGTGCTGCAGCAGGAAAGCTCACTTTCATGGTCGGCTGCCAAAATGAGCAAGTTAATCGCATTACAGAGGTTCTGAGCATGATGGGAGCAAGAGTCGTGCATCTAGGTCCTCAAACAAGTGGTCTGAAAGCAAAGCTCGCGAACAACTATCTGCTGGCTCTCAACAACATCGCGACAGCGGAAGCGATGAACATGGCTGTTCAATGGGGCTTGGACGCGAAAGCATTCGCTGACATGGTCAATACCGCAACCGGGCGATGTTGGCCTTCAGAGGTGAACAATCCCGTACCAGGCGTCGTTGAGGGCTCACCCGCCTCAAAAGGGTACGAGGGCGGATTCGGCACGGCATTAATGTTGAAGGATATAAAGCTTGCCATCCAGGCTGCGACCGAGCACGGTATCGTTCCCAGGTTGGGAACACATGCGAAGGACATTTACCAGGCCGTGGAAATGGATCCGGAACTGAAGGGCAAGGACTTTAGCGTGGTTTATAGATATGTGGGAGGCAAGGTCAGTGACCCGGGCAAGCCGTGAGAGATCTGATCATTGTAGTGGAGATCTGACGGCCTAGAGGATATCCCGAAGAGAGGAAATTGTAAGTATGCCAGAGAAATGCATACTTCAAGCTGTACCGACCTGTTGAGCAAATACAAAATCTCGTCTTTCTGGCCACCAGAAGCCAAAGGCCAATTCTTTTGACCGAACCGCGCAGCACGCCGACATGGGACCACTCAGCAACGTGAAGCAGGCCTGCGAGTCTGGTCCGCAAATGCCCCATGGTGCCCGGATAGATTGAGATGAGAAATGCTCGCACTTCTCGACAGATCGCAAAGGATCAAGTCAGCAAGGGCACAGCTGCGCAGCCACAGAGGAAAATACATTGGAGGGCCAAGCAGCTCAACCGCGTGACTACCTTATGCAGTGTAGCATTGGACAAATATGCGCCAAGATGCAGGAGTGGTGGAAAACATTGGTACACAACGGAAACGAATCGAGCTGAAGCAATGGACAGTGAGGCTCTTCCTCCTCAAGGTAATTGGATCTCTCCATGCACTTGCCTGTCATGAGGGCCATTCCATTCCTTCTGGTCGCTAGCCTGGCGCATGGAAGCTTGCTATTTCCACCTCCTACGAATGGAAAATGGGGAACAGACATCAAAGCCTTGGAACTCATTGATCACGACCGAACAGATCCCTACGATCCGGACGGCAGACCCAGAAGACTGATGGTATCTGTCATACACCCAACACTTCCCATGAAAAAATGCCATCCCAACAACACGATCCCTTACGCCCCGACTTCCATCCTCGATGTTCTGATTTCCGCATTCGAGCTCCTCGACGTCACGAATATCTCAGACAAAGTCCATCAGCTCGCATTACCAACATGTCCACTTCCACCCTCTGAGCGGCAACCCAGAAAGTCCACATTCCCAACCCTCCTCTTCTCCCCAGGTCTCCACGGATCTCGTTTCCTCTCACTCTCCCAAGCCCAATCCATCGCCTCGCAAGGCTACACAATCATCCTGCTCGACCACACCTACGACACAGCAATCCTGGAATTCCCGGACGGCACAATAATCTCAGCCCAAAATTTTACAACTGTTGAAGAACTAGATGATCTGGTGCGCGTTCGAGCGAGAGACGTGAGTTTCGTTATCAATCAACTCGAAAATTCGCATAGTCCGTTGCATCGAATTTTTCCTAAGCCTCACGATCGTGGGATTGGAATCTATGGTCACTCTCTCGGCGGCGCGACAGCGATTCTAGCTTCTCATCGCGATCCTCGTATCACGGCGATTGTGGATCTTGATGGGTTTCCTTATGGTTTTCATACGACTGGGACTTGGGAAGATCCTGTTTTTAACCTTCCTGTCCATCTCGATTCACCACCCATCCTCTTATTTGCAAACATGACGCTATCTTTCGGACCTATCTGGGATGTCTTCACAGGGTGGAAGAAGAGATTGGCGTTGGAGGGAGGGAGTCATATGGCGTTTACAGATGTGCCGTTGCTTGTGTATGTTTTGGAGTTGAGAGAGCAATTGCCTGAAGGGGTTTTGGAGCTTGTTGGTGAGATTGAGGGGTTTAGGGCTAGGGATGCTGTTGGTGAGTATGTTGTTGCTTTTTTTGATAGGTTCTTGAAAGGGAGGGATGAGGGGGTTTGTTGGATGGAGAGAGTGAAGAGTGGCCTGACGTTGTGTTTGTGGAGGGATGAGGTTTCCAAAATGCTCTACAGGCTCAGACATGATGACGATCTCAGTTCCAGAGAGTCAGGGCTGTGTCAACGTAATGTAGTTCTCATGCCATCACGGAGCAAGTCACACTCTTTTGCGGTAGGTCTTTCCCACAACTTCTATGTTTCGCCATGATTCGAAGAGTATGTCCACCCTTACAGTTATGATTTTGAGGTCAACAAAATTCGATCACTCCGCACTCAAATACTCGCCCACGGCTTTCACAGCATCTTTGAACTTCTCACTTTCCATCAAAGTCAAATGCCCTTGCGGCTTGATACCATTCTCCGTGAAGACCCTCCTCGAATCGCTAGCGCCTTCATCGCCTTGCGTTTCGTAGTCAAAATTTGTCCAGCCCAGTGCATACCTGTGCAAGACCTCGTCCTCTGGATGGAAGAAGAACGTCTCTGGCGAATTCGAAGAAGCACCGGCCTTCTTCTTCTTGGAAGGCGGATTGTCTTCGGCATCCAATTTCGACTCGACTTCCGTGTAAGTTTTACTCATGACAATATAATGCGTGAACTCGTATGGCTTCTTGTCTTCGACCGCCAATTGCATTTCTTCTAGCAGCATATTGTATAGTGGCGGGATGACTTGGTGAGGCATGTTGATGAAGCGTTCCGTGAGGATAAGACCGACTCGCGCAGACGACTTCTCCGACAAGAGAGCTTCGAGATTGGCAAGACTCTGGTCTCCTGATGCTCTGACTCTCGAGAGTATGTAATTCGTAAGTTGCTGAATCACAGCCTTGCTTCGATGTTGGTACAGGTTGAGAATCGTCATGAAGGCATATGGATCGCTCTCTTTGCCGTCGCATTTGATAGTCGTGCCTATATCCTGCTGCTCGAGGATCATGCCTGCCAGTGCGCTCAAGTCGAATAATTGGTTGTCTGCATCGAAAAGCTGCCGAAGGAGGTTCTTCAGACCGTGAAAATCTACTTCTGAATCTGGGTTGAAGAATTCGAAGTCGACGTCTAGCATTTCGGTGTCCTATCAAATGGTCAGTCTAGGCATCGCAAACAACGTATTTGTCGTCATACATCTTCACTGCCACTGAGTTCGCCATCAACGTCCATCTTGTCCTTCGACGCCTGTTTGTCATCTCCATTTGCTTTGCGCTTGCCCATTTTGACTTAGAAGAGTTGTACGTTGTTGATGCTTGGTTGCTTCCACACTGAGACAAGGCGGCCGATCGACTGCTTGAGACGTGAAGTCCTTTGTCCAAATTTTTGTGACGAGCCGCAAAGCGTTCCGAGTTGTTTCTGGCAGATTTTTGTCGTGATCTGGGGTCCAGAGTCGAATTTTGGGTGGCATCAACCCCAATTCAAATGTGCCTTCAAATGTTGGTTCGCGGCCCCACTAGAACCCCGCGAACCTTAATCGGTTCCTGCAGCATTGCTCACAAAATTATTTTGCGACACCCACTTTCACGCACTCTTCTTTCGACGACTCTGCAACCCAATAACAAAGCAGTCGTTCAGACCGACCACAATGGCCACCAACGGAGTCAATGGCGCTGTTGTCGAGGCGCCGCATCAGCTATATGACACGATTCTCGTACTCGATTTCGGCTCCCAATACACGCATCTCATCACGCGTCGACTACGCGAGTTAAACATCTACTCGGAGATGTTGCCGTGCACTCAAAAGATAGCAGATCTCCCATTCAAGCCAAAGGGTGTCATTCTTTCAGGTGGGCCGTAAGTACAATTGACTCCGTGCCACAGTGGCCGCAATTGTCGCTGCATCGCAGGCCGGCCTTTCGAGTCGGAAGCCAAATTCGGAGCGACTGACTCATCTGATCGACAGATACTCTGTCTACGCACCTGATGCTCCTCACGTCGACCCGGCTGTTTTCGATCTCAACGTACCCATTCTGGGCATCTGCTATGGACTTCAAGAGCTTGCTTGGCACCATGGAAAGGGAGTTGCCGCTGGCGAGCAGAGGGAATACGGAAAGGCGCAGCTTCAAGTCTCTCGACACGACGGCAAAGGCGAGCATATCGACAAGCTATTCAAGGGCTTGGAAGATGGTCCAGTGGTGTGGATGTCTCACGGAGACAAGCTATCGAAACTTCCAGACAATTTCCATACCATCGCCTCTACTGCTAGCGCTCCGTTCGCTGGTATCGCTCACGACTCGAAGCACTACTATGGCATTCAATTCCACCCCGAAGTTACTCACACGCCAAAAGGAACGGAAGTCATCAAGAACTTTGCAGTCGGTATCTGCCAGGCTCAGACGAATTGGACCATGAAGGCATTCGTGGGCCAAGAGCTGGCTCGTATTCGAGAGCTTGTAGGCGACAAGGGACAGGTCATCGGCGCTGTCAGTGGTGGTGTGGACTCCAGCGTCGCAGCGAAGCTCATGCAAGCAGCGATCGGAGACAGATTCCACGCAGTCATGGTCGACAATGGCTGTCTACGTTTGAATGAGGCCCAGGATGTAGAGAAGACGCTCAAAGAGGGACTGGGGGTCAATCTCACTGTGGTGGACGCCAGTGAGCTCTTCCTCGGGCATCTTCAAGGAGTTACAGAGCCGGAGAAGAAGCGCAAGATCATCGGCAACACATTCATCGACATTTTCCAAGAGAAGGCCAAGGAAATCGCAGCAGCAGCTGAGAACACGGATCGTGCTGGAAAGATTGAATGGTTCCTCCAGGGCACACTCTATCCAGATGTGATTGAGTCGATCTCATTCAAAGGCCCTAGCGCAACGATTAAGACACATCACAACGTTGGTGGACTTCCTGAAAAGATGGACTTGAAGCTGATCGAACCTCTTCGCGAGCTATTCAAGGACGAAGTGCGTGCTCTTGGTACTGAGCTGGGCATTCCAGAGTATCTCGTCTGGAGACACCCGTTCCCTGGTCCTGGACTCGCAGTCCGCATTATTGGCGAGGTGACAAAGGAGAAGATCCGTATGGCACAGCAGGCGGATGACATTTGGATCAAGGAGATTCGCAAGGCCGGCTATTATCGTACAATCTCGCAGGCTTATGCTGTAAGTGCTTCCGTCGCTCCCCGCCAAGTCAGAGCATGCCGTGTCGCAGACAGCAGTTCTGACTCGACTGTCTGCTTTGGAGCGAGTGGCACCTGCTAACTCCGGAAATTTAGGCTATCCTAGGCGCCAAGGCGGTGGCTGTGGTTGGTGACCAGCGCTTACATGGCGAAGTGATTGCGTTACGTGCGGTTCAGACCACTGATTTCATGACCGCGAACGTGTTCGTAGACGCTCCAGCAAGTTGGTTTGCTGAGGTCGCAGATAAGATAGCCAACGAGGTCGCCGGAGTCGCTAGGGTGTTTTACGAGTTCAGCAGCAAGCCGCCTGCCACAATCGAACTCGAATAGATAGCCCAAGCGAAGGTGTCGGGAGAGATGGAGTCATAATAGGTAGCAAGGCGTTTGGAGCTGCATAGATCCATGATACCCAAGTGATATATATGATTGAATGATAAATGATTCATGTTGAACGACGGTGTTGAAACCTCACTCGCCAGATGCTCGAGCATTTCTTGCGCCATGTGATGCTGAGGTACTTTCGTCCAGTTCTTAGCTGTCGCGAAGAAATGCATCAAATCTGTCCTCTTCGGTCGCCAACTTGATCAGGGACGTTGATGCACTTGTGTTCGGGAAGAGATCCACTTGCAAATCAGTGCCTGGGACGTCATCATACATACGTCAGTGATCCCACATAAACTCCAGCAGGAGGAGCATGAGTTTAAGAATTCCATCGCGTGCTCAATTTTCCTGCTACAATCATAATTCGAAAAGCTTCACAATCAGCTTTCCACGTACAAGCAAGACTACATCGGACAAGCAACCCCATACATCACCGTCACCATGTCTTCCACATCCAACGTTGGCGACCGCCGTGCATATGAGAATGCCGACCAGGTGAAGCACCATCTCCTAGGCTAGTCCGCGTTGCCAGACATTGACGTCCATCCAGAGAACCTACACCGATGACGAGATTGCTCAAATGAAGAAGGAGAATCGCTTCCACGAGGGCAAGGAGAACTCGCATCAGGCAAACGACTCCAAGGACGAGCGTACCATAGCCAACAAGCTCGCCCACGAAGCGAAGCGCGAGCAAGAAGCCGAGGAAGAGAAGACGCAAGAAGACAAGGAGCGCAAGATCGATCCTACTCTGCCGGTAAGCCAAGCTCATATCCAACTGCACTCCAAAGCTTAATGCTAATGTGTCTTGGAAAGGCCAAGAACCACGGCAACGAGCCATCAAAGGGCGCCAAGATCGACAAGCAGATCCAGGAAGAGGAAGAGGAGCTCTTGAAGAAGAAGGGAGATTTCGGTCCTAAGGCTGCGAACTAGATGATCGTGATACCGCCACCGACCCAGATTGGTCGGCCGCTATGCATACAGAGCGTTGGCGTTCTCTGGGGAATGGGAGGTAGCTAGCAGCACCTCAGGAGATAACTGTGTCATGCGCATATGAGAGTACACTGAGCAGAAATGAGAAAGGAGACCAGCCCACTCGCTGACATTGCCTTTCTCTTCGTCAAGTCGTCCCTCTGCATCGTGTTGTATTCCAGCTCACCTCAACCATCATCAGAGCACGCCCGGAGAGTGCAATGCTTGAGATTCGTCGCTCTTCCATTCTGCTGCTCATTCTCCTCTGGATGATCTCGAAGGGTGACCGCCCGTAGTGCTTTCGGTATATCCTTGAGGCCACAACGATGCCGATGACATGAGAACAGGCGGAGGAAAAGCCGTCGCGAACACATGGCTGCCGATAGCATGCCAAGTTTGCTTAGTTGCCGTCCACTGTCTTTGCATACTAGTGTTTATGTGGCTCGAAGAGCCACAAGTAAAGGCCGAAGAGCTATAAGTAAAGGCTAAGGCGACGAGCGGGGTAGGGTAAGCTAGATTACTATTAGAAACGCTTACAGTAAGATAGTCTAAAATATCTAAAGTAACTACTTCCGGAATACGCCTATAGTAATTACTATCCGGAATACCTATAGCGAGTACTATTCGAAATATCTATAGTACATAGTTCTTTCTAAGTAGGAACGCTTATAGTAAGTACTATCTATAAGGCGTATAGTAAGTCTAATCTAAAACGCCTAAAGTAATTTTAATCTAAAATACTTATAGGAATTCTAATTTAGAATACTTATAATACTAAGTACTATTTAGAACGCGTATAGTAACTCTAATCGGGAGCACTAATAGTTAGTACTACTATCTATAACGCTTATACTAAGTTTTATTTAGAACACGCTATATAGTAATTCTAATCCGAAACGTATATACTAAGTCCTATCCGGAACGCGTATAGTAAGTACTATCCGGAACGCGTATAGTAAGTACTATCCGGAACGCGTATAGAAAGTCTAATTCGGAACGCTAATAGTAAGTACTATTAAGAACGCTTATAGTAAGTAGTACTATCTAAAATACCTATAGTAAGTACTATTTAGAATACTTATAGCAAGTTATATCCGAAACGGTTATAGTAAATACTACTAAAAACGTTTATAGCGAGTACCCTATATAACGCCTACTACGAGTACCCTATAAAATGCCTATAGCGAGTACTCTATAGAATATCTATAGCGAGTAGTACTATCCGGAACGCGTAGGATAAGCCTGATTTTAAACGCTTAGTATAGTTAGTTCTATATAGACCGGAACGTTTCGAACTGTTTATAGTAAGTACCTTATATAACGCCTACTACGAGTACCTTATAAAACGCCTATAGTAAGCACTCTATAGAATATCTATAGCGAGTAGTACTATCCGGAACGCGTAGGATAAGCCTTATTTTAAACGCTTAGTATAGTTAGTCCTATATAAACCGGAACGCGTATACTAAGTCTAATCCAAAACGCTTATAGAAAATCTTATCCGGAATATATAAAGTAAGTCTAAGTCTAATCTAAAACTAAATACTTATATTAACTACTACGAACTATTTATAGCGAGTACCCTGTATAGCGCCTACTACGAGTACCCTATAAAACGCCTATAGCGAGTACTCTATAGAATATCTATAGCGTACTACTATCTAAAATACCTATAGTAAGTACTATTTAGAGTACTTATAGCAAGTTATATCCGAAACGCTTATAGTAAATACTACTAAAAACGGTTATAGCGAGTAGTAGTATTCGAAACGCTTATAGCGGTTACTATCCGAGATATCTATAGCGAGTAGTACTATCCGGAACGCTTTACAACGCGCTATATAGCAATTCTAATCCGAAATGCTTATACTAAGTCCTATCTAAAACGCGTATAGTTAGTACTATCCGGAACGCGTATAGTAAGTCTAATTTAGAACGCTAATAGTAAGTACTATTAAGAACGCTTAGGCTTATAGCAAGTAGTACTATCTAAAATACCTATAGTAAGTACTATTTAGAATACTTATAGCAAGTTGTATCCGAAACGCTTATAGTAGATACTACTAAAAATGCTTATAGCGAGTAGCAATATTTGAAACGCTTATAGCGGTAACTATCCGAGATATCTATAGCAAATAGTACTATCCAGAACGCTTATAGTAAGTCTAATCTAAAACGCTTATAGAAAGTCTTATCTTAAATATATAAAGTAAGTCTAAGTGTAATCCGGAACTAAATACTTATATTAAGTACTATCCGGATTCCGGAAGGCTTATAGCGAGTAGTACTATCCGGAACGCTTATAGTAAATACTATCTAAAGTGCCTATAGTAAATAGTATTCGAACTGTTTATAGCGAGTACCCTATAAAACGCCTATAGCGAGTACTCTATAGAATATCTATAGCGTACTGCTATCTACAACGCCTATACTAAGTTTTATTTAGAACGCGCTATATAGTAATTCTAATCTAAAACGCTTATAGAAACTCTTATCCGGAATATATAAAGTAAGTCTAAGTCTAATCCGAAACTAAATGCTTTTATTAAGTACTATCCGGAAGGCTTATAGCGAGTAGTACTATCCGGAACGCTTATAGTAAATACTATCTAAAACGCCTATAGTTAAATAGTATTCGCACTATTTATAGCAAGTACCTTATATAACGCCTCCTACGAGTACCCTATTAAACGCCTATAGCGAGTACCCTATAGAATATCTATAGCGAGTAGTACTATCTAGAACGCTTATAGTAAATACTATCGAAAACGCCTATATTCGAACTACCTATAGCGAGTAACCTATATAACCTCTACTACGAGTATCTTATAAAACGCCTATAGTAAGCACTCTATAGAATATCTATAGCGAGTAGTACTATCCGGAACGTATAGGACCCTATAAAACGCCTATAGCGTACTACTATTTATAGCCTATACTAATTTTTATTTAGAACGCGCTATATAGTAATTCTAATCCGAAACGCTTGTACTAAGTCTTATCCGAAACGCGTATAGTAAGTCTAATTCGGAACGCTAATAGTAAGTACTATTAAGAACGCTTATAGCAAGTATGTACTAAGTCTTATCCGGAACGCGTATAGTAAGTCTAACTCGGAACGCTAATAGTAAGTACTATTAAGAACGCTTATAGCAAGTAGTACTATCTAGAATACTAATAGTAAGCACTATTTAGAATACTTACAGCAAGTTATATCCGAAACGCTTATAGTAAATACTACTAAAAACGCTTATAGCGAGTAGCAATATTTGAAACGCTTATAGCGGTAACTATCCGAGGTATCTATAGCAAATAGTACTATCCGGAACGCTTATAGTAAACACTATCTAAAACGCCTATATTCGAACTACTTATAGCGAGTACCCTATATAACGCCTACTACGAGTACCTTATAAAACGCCTATAGCGAGTACTCTATAGAATACCTATAGCGAGCAGTACTACCCGGAACGCGTAGGATAAGCCTTATTTTAAACGCTTAGTATAGTTAGTCCTATATAAACCGGAACGTATATAGCAAGTCTTATCCGAAACTAAATACCTATATTAAGTACTATCCGGAAGGCTTATAGCGAGTAGTACTATCCGGAACGCTTATAGTAAATACTATCTAAAACGCCTATAGTAAATAGTATTCGAACTACCTATAGCGAGTACCCTATATAACGCCTACTACGAGTATCCTATAGGACGCCTATAGCGAGTACTCTATAGAATATCTATAATACTAAGAATAAGTCTAATTTAGAACGCTTATAATACTAAGTACTATTCGGAACGTACATAGTAAGTCTAATCCGGAGCGCTAATAGTTAGTACTACTATCTATAACGCTTATACTAAGTTTGCACGCCCGGATTTGATAGTAATGGCCGCGGCGCCTAGAAGTTATAATATTGTGAGGCCCGCCGTCCGCGTCTGCGACGCGGACTAGGGACTAGTTTTGAATATAGCAATATCCCCCGCAAACTTCCAAATCTTGACAGTCACCATCTCCCAACACTCCTCCGGATCAAAATCTTCGGGCGTGGACTCTTCGTCTATTTCATTTTCTGATGGGAGACGGTTGTTTACGAGCCAGAAGAGGAAAATTGAGAAAATTAGGGGGTCGCTGGTTGGGAGATGGAGGGTGTTGGAGGGGGTTATGGAGTTTGCAAAGTAAGGGGAGAGGCGGAGTAAGAGGAGTTTGGAGAGGGTGCCGCAGGGGGTTGGGGAGGAGGAGAGGTAGATTGATACTGAGTCGAAATGGGGGGTTTGGAAGTTTGAGATGAGGGAGCGGACGGTTTGGACTGGGAGGGGTTTTGGGACGGGGGGTTGCGGGTTTGAGGGGCGACTAAGGGTGCTGGTGTTGGTGCACATTGTTGTGGGTGAAGTACTCGGTTTTGATGGTGGTGGTGATTGGTATGGCTGACTAGGAAAGAGTATAAGTATTGCTGGATGGTTTGCTTGTGCTTTTTGAAGCGCACGTGAATAGTCATTGCTTTATGAAACTCCAGGTCTTCACTGTTGTGCTAGAAAAAGACTGGCCAGCGGCCCAAGATAGCTTTCGCCTACTCCGCCCAGATCCAAAACCAATTTCTCAAGCAGCATATTGCTATGGCGTAATCTGAACCTCAAATCGTGCCGGCCTGGCGTAAGGACTTCTCCCGAGATGATATGTCGGTTGACCCAAACATTATCTCCTGCAGCTTCAAACCATCCATCAGCAGCCGGCCAGCCTTCATCTTTGGACTTTTGTATCGCTTCAGCACTAACGGAGTACAGATCGTGGGTCGCGACTGGTCCATCATCGACTTGTAAATCATACTGCAGAGTCTCGTCAGGCGAGAGGATCAAAGTCGTGCCGAAGTAAATGATCAAGGTCGCTTCCTTCACGACAGTGAAGTTGTAGAAGGTGTAAGTCAGGAAGGGTAGGTCATCGCCTTGAATGTGTGTTGAAGTATCGAGACTGATGGAACCAGTCGGGAGTCTTCCAGTGTCGAGCAGAACGCGATATGGCGGATGTATTTGCGACGCGGTAGCTGGTATCGAGACGTAACCATCCGCCTCAATAAAGCCTGGTGTGATGGTTTTAGGCACTTTTCGGGCGGTGATGGGTAGGTGAAGCTGCTCAAAGTCTCCTTCCTTCGACTTGACATCGATCAAGATCTCCTCTTCGAACGTGTCAGGTACCAGATCCCAATCAACGTTGATCTCGATTCTCACATCATCATCGTCAGGTCCAAGCATACCGTCGCCGTTCGAAAACTTCAGCCACTCCTTTGGTGTCGTCACATACCAATGTATAGTTCGCGGTCCACGCGTATAGATCTCGAACCACCTGTTCTTGGTAGAGTATCGACTCAGCGCCTGAAATGTGACACCAGGAACAAGATCTCTTCTGCTCGGATGAGTGCGGTCAGACTCCTCATTACACCGACCAGGTCTCACACCCTCATGCCCTTCTACAGCAACTCCCATATTCCCGGCAATTGGGTTCGAATGCTGTCGTTTCTGAACATAGCATAGCCCATCGATCATATCCCGAGACGGCGCATGCCAGGTGTCCTCATACCCGTAGTGTGGCTGACGAAGCATGTGATTCCATTTTCCATTCAACAAGGAATGATACTCTTCCGATAAGTCAAAATCTTGTTCGAAGAGATCGAGGATCTCTTGTGCGAGGCGATTCGCGGAGTTGCGTCTCTGTCGGGCGTAGAGGCGGTTCTTGCTGCGCAGAATTTGAATTTTGTAATAGATCCAGGTTGCCTTGACTGGGTGCAGGATGAGCTGGAAACAAGTTGCTTTCTCCGCCTCGTCCGCTTGCTCATAGATAGTCGAGGCTTGTTGCAGGAGGTCGCTGAGTCTGTCGAGTAAGATTTCCGATTCCCGATAGTTCAGTATCGAGAAAGTGGTGGGCTCGATGAGCTCGTGTTTCCTGATTGAGGCTATCCGGTCATAGCCACAGAGCACTTCAGCAGCGCTTTGAGCAATTTTAGTGTTGAGGTTCTGTGTCGCCCATTCGTCATGGAACGACTTGACATCTATGTTTCTTACTGCTTCGCAATTCCAAGCTACAGCAATGGCGAAAGAGAGCGGACACTCAACTGGCTTCAGATCTCCAACGTTGAAGACCCAGATCTGTCTGGCTTGGCGATGGTAGGCCTGCATGAGTTGATGCTTGATTTTGCCCAGCGAATTGCTGTTGATCCACTTATACGATCTCGGCCACCCAACATATTCAAGATGATAGTATATGCCTGCACCATCTCGTCGTTTCCTTTCAGCTACCGATGGCAGTCTTCGTATCGTACCGAAATTGTCGTCTCCAAAAAGTAGGGTGACATGGTCAGGAACTTCCAACTTACCACTTTCGTACATAGTCTGAACTTCTTTGTAGCAGGCCAGAACCTGTGGGACTGCATCTTCCGCACCGTGTTCCTCCTTGAAAAGTTGCCGCTGCGTTTGAATCACATCTCGAACGACAGCAGCAGGATCTTCGCCTGCCATTTTTTGTCGTACTCACCTCGCATGCCTAGAGTGAAGTAGGACTCTTTTCCCGCTGCTCTTTGAACTCCTTCTCGGAAGAAGTCAGTGATACGATCTTTGTTTGTCAGCCAATTCCAGCTACCATCTGGGTTCTCGGCGAACCATTCGTTGGATAGTCGTTGCATTGGTTCATGGTGAGATGTCGAAATGACTATGCCAAGCTCGTCCGCCAATGCCTGGTTTCTCGAATCGTCGGTGAAGAATGATGCACCTGGATTGGGGTAGCCGGGCCACATTGCGGGCCAGAGGAAGTTGGCCTGTTCGAATCAGTACATGCAGGCTTGTTGGAATTGATGAAGGGACGGTGTACCTTCAGTCTGAGGATAAGCTCAAATACTTTCTCGTAGAACTGAGAATTGTACTTTCCAAACTTCTCCAACACCCAACCCGTGAGAACAGGAGCCTCGTCGTTCAAGAATATGCCTCTGTATTTGATGCTTGGCTCTCCATGGCACGTAGATTTGTCAATTGCATATATCGCCGAGTGCTGCTTAGGCGGCACGTCTGCCCACCAATACCAACTGCAATTGATCAGCATGCTCTTACGCGTGGGTTGCAATGACAATTGAGACACACGGTGATACGCCAATCTGCTCAGATAGGGTGTAGGCTCCATAGATCGTTCCACGCTTGTCGCTTCCAACAATGACAAGGGCTTTTGCGATGCCCTCAAAAGGCTTGGCAACGACGCTGGTACAGAATGACTCCCATCTCCCGGATATGCTTTCGACATCAAGCTTGCCCTTGCTAACCATATCTTGGACCAGATGACTGGACTCGAGGCAGCCGATGATGATAGCTGTGTCGACTTCTAATTTTGGCAAATCGGTATCTGCTTCCACGACCGTCTGCTTTAGGCGTTTTGTCAGAACACGTCCAAAGTCGAGTGCCAGATTGTGCACGGCAGATTTTATTCCTAACGGCTCATGACTGCTGATAATGAGGGGAGCATTGTTAAGCTCAACGCTGCTGTAGCCAGGGCCAAACTGCACAAAAATATCCTCGAACATCCTGAGAGATAACAGATACCAAGCCCCAGCCCCGTCGGGGGAGGTTGATGCAGGCAATATTGTTCTGGCGTCCGAGGTTATGAATGCCAAATTGGACTCCTGGAGAGTTCGTCACAAACGGGGTTCGCGTGCTTCAATGGTCGGCCACGGATGAGTGATACTGCTGTCTGTTGCTCTCGTGGAAAGCTTACAATGTCCGGATGTCCAGAAGGGCAGCAGGAGAACATCAAAGTAGCTCGCAGTCTAGGTGGACCATATGCCGAAGCTCCAATGAGATCAAACATGCTTGATTCTGAGTAGCGGGGTCAATAGGCTAATGAGACCTGGCATATAGGCAGTTTTTCTTGCAAGCCGTCGAACACATGCTGCTTGAAGGCGATCTGGAGATTGTCGGGTTGCTTACTGAGACCCAAATTCGTTTACAGTATCGGATCCATTAGCAAATGGGCTTGCACAGCAATGATGCTACCATTTGTCAGAATTTCGCAACATTGAAGGCCGCTCCGAGGAAGTCAGCGATGATTTGTGAAGAACGAGAAAGTGAGTGCCTTTCGCTAATCGCGTCCGAAAGTTTCTGTCGACTGCTTAGGTGACATGACGGAGATGCATAGAGCTCGATCTTGCCAAGTGAAACTGTCATCAGGAAGGGCCGATTTCTCATTCCCAATCAAGGTGTGTAGTGAGTTCCTGGAAGTGAAGATGATGCTTCACATGCTTCGGTCTTTACCGTTTTCGCATGTGATGCTCGGCAGCCATGACCTTGCGTTGGTCAGTGCGCGCGACCATGAAATTTCCAAAGGTTCTGACTTTCCAAGGTTCTTTCCACCTGCAGTCCTCTCGCGGGCAATGGCTAGCCCCGTCAACCACAATATCATGCCTGCCCAACCCGGCAACCTCGTCCAGGGTGGTGCACTGTCGACGAGCGGATCTTTTGCTACATCAGCGCGAAACACCCGATACCGCGTCACATTCTTCGACTTACCAGCAGAGTTGCGCAACCAGATCTATGATGAGATCGCTGAGCACGATGCACCGAAACAAGTGCTGAAAGCGTACTACCAGAAATACCGGGCACCGCCAGCCACATTCGCGGAGGTATGCCAGCAGACTCGACAAGAATACCTGCCAAGACTTCATCGAGACCTTGACCTGTGGCTTTTCGATAGCTACGTCAAACCAGACTCCACGATGCGTTGGCTCGATATTTTCGGTCGCTCACGAGTCCCCCTCACACGAAAGATCTGCATCTGGTACGATCCGTTCTGCTGTAAGATCGTGCTCCACGGAAACAAGTCAGAGAAGCAGGTGACCGTCCGATACCTTGATTGGTATGGAGACCCGATCGAAAATTCCGAGGCCGTAGATGCTGCTGCCGAAGCATTTGTGCAAAGTCACTTGCAACCATGCGGAAGTGACCCATACCTGACACTGGAAGGTCTGAAGAAAGTCATCGACTTTGTGCGCATTCGGATGGCTAACACGAAAGATGAACGAGAGAGTGGTCTCCAAAGAAGATAGCCGTGGAGATGGCGTCGGTCTGCGATGAGGGCGTGCTGGAGATCAGGTATCAGAGACAGGGAGGCGATGGAGCACAGGAGTGATGGGTCGAAAGGAGACTTGCTACGATGGAACATTGAGAGCAGGTTTACGGAAGAGCGTCAGCAAATGTCTTGTTTCGAAGAATCTTTGTACTCACCAATCACTCCCGCGCATCCAGACGTCACAGCGTTCGAGCAGTCTCATAATTACCATGCCGCAAAGTCTCTGTGCCTGTCTCCGATGTTGACTTCAGCATGTATGGTAATGCCGATTGCAAATCAAGAATCAGTGAGGTATATTTCAAGCAAAGCTTTCCGCTCCAACATTTACGCATTCCTCTTTCAGTTCGACTGGGTAACGCCATTCCATGCACCTGTACATATCGAAGCGCAAATTTTCGAACGCCGTCCCTCGTAATGCGCTTTTTAATTGCTGGTCAAGCCCGCCCATTGCCCAGCTCATATACACTGTTCCAATTCTATCATCGCAGTTCCTTCAATCGGCCAGTCTCACTACCGCTTCTTCTTCTGTCCCTTTCTGCTTTCTGTAAACTCATCAGCACCTACGCAAGACCGATGGTCCAATTCAAAAACTTACCCGCCGCGCTCTTCTTCTTCTTCGGTGCTCCCTTGCCTCTACTCTTCGCGATTTGCAGGTGCTCTAATCGGTCCTCCTCGAAGTCATCGTACATCTCAATCTTTCTCAATGGATATAGAGTCTTGAGATCCTTGAATGTGGCTACTCGTCGTGGATAGTATGCGGCGAACGAAGGTCCTCGTAATCGTTGCCGCAGAACTTTGTTTCCGAGTCGCAAGTTCTGAGGGTTGAAGGTGGTGTTGAATATTCGGCATTGCGCCCGTAGCAGGTCTAGTACTCGCGCTCGTGGAACTGTCATGATTGTTGCATGTGATAGACATTCACTGAAGTATTCACGAGATCGAGTCCAATGTCATCGGCGCCGGAAGTGCCAAGAAAAGGGTCCGAGCGTCGCAGCTTGAAGAAGGCGTTCTGCCAGCTTCAATTTCTTCTGACCACACACACACACACACACACACACACACACAAACACAAAACAGCTGCTCATCTCCTCACTGTCGCTAGGTGCTACTACAAATTCATACCCCACAGCATCATACAGTGTACACAGTGCCGAGGAGAGCTGCACCGCTATGAGCAAGAGACATTACAACGGCGGCAGTGCTCCGCCAGTGAAGCGCCAGCGCAACGACTACTCATACTCGAGGCGCGACCATTACGACGATCACAGAGGCAGAAGCGACCCATACGATGATGTACGGGACACCAGGCGCGAACCACCGAGCTATGGCGTCAAGGACTCGTACGCGAAGCAGGAATCACCGCCTCATGTAAGTTTGCACGGAAGACTTGATTCTGCTTCTCGATGATTGTCACGCTCGCCAGAGTCATGTCCGCTGTGTAGTGAGTGCATCTTCAAATGGGCGTACTAACAATGCTGTAGGACCTGTACCTCCCGAAGCCTCTGCCGCCGCGTCCTGAGCTCCCCGCTGCCTGGGCTGAAGCACCCTTCCGCCACAAATCTACTACAACCAACTCTTCACAAATGACATATGACCGACTCGAATTTCTAGGAGATGCCAATATCGAGAAGTTTGCCACGGACCTGATCTTCGAAAAGTATCCGCAGCTTCAAGTCGGCGAGATGAGCCAGCTTCGCGAGCAGCTCGTCAAGAACGAGACGCTCGCGCAATATAGCAAAGAGTATGGTCTCGAGAAGAAGATTAAGGCCAACGACAAGAAGAGCATGCAAAAGGACAGTCATGGGAAAGGCAACAAGGGCTGGACCAAGGTCATTGCTGATGTCTTCGAGGCATACATCGCAGCAATCATTTTATCAAACGAAAATAAGCGGACTGGTGAGGACATTGCTGAGGCTTGGTTGAGAGAGCTGTGGACGCCACGCATCGAGACGCTCATGCAGTCCAACAAAGTGTACGCCTCACGAATGCAGACCTCTGCTGCTCCAAAGTCTTCTTCTTCGCCTGCAAATGAGGCAGGTGCCATGCCACCGTACGACGAGAACGCGAAGGCCATACTGCAGCAGCGAATTCAGCGTTCAGCACAGCATGTCAAGTTGGATTATAAGAACACTGAGATGGTCGAGCTGAAGGGTAATAAACTGGGCCAGAATGAATGGACGCAAGAACTTTATGTGGTCGCGCCAAATTATGGTTACGAGAGAGAGTATCTCGCTACTGGCAAGGGTCGCAATAAAACCGAGGCTGGCAATTGGGCTGCAGGTGCAGCAATGGTTCATAAGAAGGAGCTTATCGATGACCTGGAACGTCGCGTGAAGGCAGATGTAGAGGAGCACAGGCGCAAGAGGGAAGAACAAGCTGCTATGAAGGGTGAAGCATCCGCCGACACTGATCCAACCGTGGTGTCGGCCAACCAGAATGGGAAGCGACTTTAGGCTGGGACAGGTGCTGGGCCTCTGAAGGAGGACTGCCCATCTGGAACGGATGTATTTGAGACAAGCGACACTTCGGACTGGGCTTTGGTCGCTAATTAACTTGACTCTGGCTTCTACCTCTCCACGGCAAGACGCGAACGAAGGCTTTGATATCCTTCAAACGAATGAAGTGGCTCTGGCAATTGCGAGCGTCTAGCGCATACCACCTTTTACCTTTTCTTGCAATCTGGTTGGACCCCATCTTCCATGACCTCTCCCTTACCTAGCTACAACCATCGATGCTGCGATTTCCCGGTCTGGCATTCATTCAACTTCGATTAACGCCGTCTCGCTAGGTCTCCCTGGCAACTGTTGGTTCAGTACGTGTCCTGCGTCTCTCTCTCTCGACATTTCTCCAGATACTCCATGATCTGGCGCAGACCCGTCGTCTCACAGGCCATTGGGATTCCAAAAGGCATCTTACTATACTGATGCGCATATCTTGCCAACTACAAGGTTGCTCCATTGTCTCTGATTCAGCCAAGAACTCACTAACGCTTCACATCACCTTATTCCCAAAACTCTCGAAGCAATATTATCAGACATGAAAACAGAAGCCAACTTTCCAAAGATTCAAGAAGTAACATATAAAGCTAGTGTCCGTAAATCAAAATCTAGCCTCAGGACATCCCACTTCCACGTACGGTAATGCACGCGAGTCATGCAGACCTGTGACTCCACTAATATATACGTCCAAGAACTTCAATATTCCGCCCGAGGGCAATGAACGAGTGACATTCGCTCTTTCATGTCCTTCGGGCATCTGGTCAATTTGAATTGAAACAGAGAAGATCAGCATGCTCCCTGCACTAAGGATGACATATGTTAACAAGGAGAGTAATGATTTTTTTTTTTGCGATTCGTTGTTAAATTGAAGTTGAGGAAATTATAGAATCTGTTGTCTACAATGTGCTGAGTGGAGATTCGTGGTGCTGAAAACGAGTCCTTTTGAATTGATAGCTGCTGTTGCCTTTTCAATTTCGTTTTGAGACTTTCTTCTTTTGTCGTTGATGAGTTCTGAGCGTTCCGAAGGTGGAGCAGTATTCGAAAGCCTCATCTATGCACTTGGGTCGGCAAGTGACCGTCCCTATGTATCATGCTGAACGGGTTGAAGCCGTTATACATGCAATGGAGAACTCTGGGGCCATTCCACCAGATTTTTAGATCATATTTCTGTGCCTCGGTGTGGGTATGGGAAGTTCGTTCCAAACAGGCCTCGTCCAGTCCGATACTGGCTTC